CAGGTAGGCACTAAGTAAATTAGATGTATATGTCTGTGATATATTACTCTTAAAATATTTTCTAGTTGCTTATTTGTAATTTAAAACTATTCCATAACAAAATTTCACAGCTGAATAATGATTAATGTCAATACAAACCGTCTTATAAAATAGGTAGTTCATAATCAATCATGGGGTTGAACTTAGAATATGTTTCACAAAAGTATCAAATAAAAAAAATCTCAAAAACAATTATTCATGTAGATTGTGGCGCTGTGGCTAAGGGACTTGTTTTGTGAGAACTCTTATTAAAGCATACTTTAACCTGTGATAAAACCAGAAGGACGTGACATATAGTAAAAAGAACAAGTCTCAGTGAATTAATTTAAAACAATGGCAAATATGCCAGTAAGCATTCATAAATTGGAGGCTATGACTTACATTTAATTTTTCCATAATTTTTACAGCACCCTGCAACTGCACTCCTTCAAAGGTCATAAATGATGTTTCAACCTGAAAATTAACCAATAGCAATAAAAATGTCTAAAATATTACGTCATTGTTTTAAGTTACTCTGGATATCAAACAATGGCAGTATAAGTTTTAAAGTCTCCCGGGAGTGACCACAGAATAAATTAATGAAATCTGGTAAGGTTTTTAACTTCCCATTGTTTTTACCTTGTTTTTCGAAAGTTGACTTTTCATCAAATCTTGACGTTTTAAGGTCACAGGAAGCCATCCTGACAATTTTTCGATGGTGTCTGAATGTCTGTCTCTGTGTCTGTCTCTGTGTGTGTGTGTGTGTGTGTGCGTGTGTGTGTGTGTGTGTGTGTGTGTGTGTGTGTGTGTGTGTGTGTGTGTGTGTGTGTGTGTGTGTGTGTGTGTATGTGTGTGTGTGTGTGTTTGTGTGTGTGTGTGTGTTGTGTGTGTGTGTGTGTGTGGATGTGTGTATCTGTATATATTTATATACTTATCATTTTTGAATGGCTTGAAATAAGCAGGTTTCCAATGTTTCATCAAACTTAGATTTCCTATGAGTTTTAACTAATTTGGACTAGTAGATTTTAAGAAATCTCAAAAATAAAAAGTTAGAAAAACTGTTTGGAATAACTTTTAAACAGCTTTACTGATCGATTCCAAAAACTAATCAGCTTTTAACCTTGAAAAACCTCGTCAATTGCCACAGGTCCAGTCAAAATCGGTTGATTCGTTTGTGAGATACCTTTTTCTACGAAAAATTTGAAAAAATTGTTTTAAATTACTCCGATGTTTCATTTTCAATGTTATAATTTGGTGAAATTTGGAGCACTTTGAAGTTGAAATTAGCGAGAGGTTCCAGGGATGGCCTGCAGGGTCAACCAAATTTTTTTATATGAGACTTCTAAATCAAAACAAGTTACAAATATCACCATACAACTTCGTAGTGCAATAAGCATACATACTACATAAAATTAACAAGCATATGAAAAAATATATGCTATGGAAAAAATATATTTCAATAGAAGATATGACACCTTAGCACATTAAAACAGACAAAATGAAGTTATAAGGATTCATTAAATAACAATTGAATCCTTTAAAACATCAGCCAGTTGAAAAAGACAAATACTACACATTGAATAAAACTAAATTTACGGATTCTATCACGTTTATTTAACTGAAACATCGGGAATTAAAAATAAGTAAAATCAGTTAAATAAACGCGATAGAATCCGTAAATTTAGTTTTATTCAATAATATAGCTGTTCACTGTGTGGTCACAATCACTTAACAATATGGATTGTAGATATGAAGTTCAACAAGGTTATGACAAAAGATTATAATTTTTCGATTAATTGGAGGTAACTAATCAAAAAAAAATATATTTAGCCATGACAAATATCTTTTTTTTTATAGAATAAGGGTGACAAACAAGCACACAGTCCACCTGATGGTAAGTGGATGCTGTGGCTCATAGACATCTACATTTATCCTCGATTAAGAATCAAAACGTACATGCGTTGTCAACCCTGAGGACTATGATGGAATGCCTCATTTCCGTAAAAAAGGGTCTTCGGATCTCTACACTCTCCATACGAAACACAGCAGTATTAAGCTGCTATTTTACGCCGGTATTCTGTGAGAACATGCTCCCTTCCGAGCTGACCCATTCCTGCTACAACCATAATATAGCTGCAGCGTGGCTCTACCATGTATAGAAAAACTATTTAAGAATCTTTTAAAAGAAAAATTTTAATCATGCGGTGACTTTGTAACAATATCCACTTCCCCATATTATTCTGAAGGTGTAAGAACATAAAAGGTTAACTAAAACGGGAGATGAGCAGCAGCATCTTCCTGATTTTCTTCCTTGATTCCTTCCTTCCTGAGAATCATAAAAAAATGCCAGCCTCCCTGCCAACTCTCAAACATTGCAACTGTAGAAAATCCCTCCTATGTAGCTATGGCTCAACATAGTGGCCTTTTATAATTGTAATAGATGAATGGATGGATAAATTTTAAAGAAAAAAGTTCAAAGAAAATATAGTACATTGTAAAACATCTTTGGCGGGAGATCCTAAGTTAACCTAAAATATAAAGCCACTGATAAATCATTAGAGAAATTGATAAATTATAGGAAAAGAAAACCGTTATCATGATAAAAGTATAAAAAGATACCAACATTGTACATATTTGCCAGAGTTGGCCGCTGAGCTGGGTCGTCGAATAGTGTGTAATACTGTTGTACAAAACCTTTTCCGATGGCATCGTACTGAGGGTTTAGCGCCATTTAGATAAATTTATAGTCCTAAAAATCACTTCAAAGAAGAAGAAATCACTACAATATATTAAAATACAGGCCTTTGAGTTGGCCCCTTGCAATTGCAATCCTTTCACACCGCAACAAAAAATTGGCAAGCGGTTCACAGTGCTGCCGTTATAAAATATTTTTATATAAAAAAAATTAAAGTGTTACCACAGAATAATCTCCTTGGAATTTAGCCAAGATTACTTTTTTTATTTAACTGGCTTTACGGCTCTGGGTTCTAGTCATTTCGCAGCGGGAACTTGGCCGTCGACGGATTGTCGCACCAGTTTTGTCGCTTGAATAATGGTTTGAAGTGGATTTTGATTTGTAAAAGTGATGTGATTTTATGAATTAAGTGTCCGCGCGTGTGAACTATTAGAGAAAACGACGAAACAAGTGCTTTAATGTCGATATAAACCTCAAGTTATTTTGATCACTTGGAAGTCTTATGAGCTTGAGTGGCTGTCGTCATCAATTGTCCGCTGGGTTGGGCTGTCGTCAAAATCTCCCAAAAAACTCGCGATGTTACGCATCAGTATATTGTGAAGAAAAAATATATAAAAACGAAGATTCCGAAAGAAATGATGGCCTCAGAAGGGCAAGAACCCAGAGCCATAAAGCCAGTTAAATAAAAAGTTATCGATGACAATGACAGCTTTGAGATTTGACAGCATATACTAGAGCCTAAGACGCGATGGCGGTGTCTATAGGTTTCTCTGTCTACGTCTTAGCTAGCTTGCTACATATTTATTTATCTATGGTCTTAGCGTAGACATTTCTCTGTCTACGCTCCTGCTACTGCTATAGATTGTGTACTAGGCATGTCGATTCACTCTTAAAAAATCGATTTGTGAATCGATTTGAATCGAAGGTACTTGAATCGATTATCGATTAAATCGAGGATTAAAAGATCGATTTTCGATTAATCGCGACTTTTTCAAACATGAAATTTCAAGAATTTTCAATTTTTTTTCCTTAACTTCTAAACTGTTTTTTATTTATTTTTTAAATATAATATTAGTAATCTTATTGATTAACATTACTAATATTCCTTTTAACCACTCTTGGTAAGCTTGAAACGCTTGTGTTAGGAGTGGTTCGCACATACTCCACTCGATCCCTATTTTTACAAAGTGATTCCACGTAACACTTTTATTTGACATTTTAGGCTAAAAACAACAACAATACTTTAACAGAAGTGAAAACTGCAACGTACATTTTTCGATAAATCTGTTTCAATCTAATAACTCACTATTTATCATATAGAAATGAATGCTACACGAACACAATACTGGTTATTTCCTTACTATAAACCTCTATAAACTTCAACGTACGGTATAATATTTATTTACAGTATCTAGGTAAGTATTTATTTACATTAGGTAGGTAAATTACTCTGTCTGTATTTACAGCTCACAGTATGTATATTTTTGATAATAAATAATGTAAATTCACAAGTTCACAGTTCAAACAGGTTCACAGCTATAATATAATATTATATTATAGTACAGGAGGTGAAATATAATATGAAAATATCGCTCGGTCGATCGAAAAAATATTTATAGTTTGAGATGTAATATATATTACATCTCAGTGGAAACGGTTCCATTTAAAAGTACGGTGAGCGCTATTAATTTATATCTCGAGATGTAATATCAATTACATTATATCCCTTAGTGGAAAGTGGGCTTAAGAATTTTAGAAATGAAAATGAAATGACAACTTTTCGATATTGTTGGATGCGTTAATAAACATTTATTTTATTCAAATATATATTGCGTTCAAATTATCAACCAAGTACGACCGGTCGTTTTTGCGCCCCCCAACAGCAAAAATTAAAAAACTGTGGTATCTTACCCCACCCAGTTTGGGAATTTTAGCTAGTTCTTGTATCAAATGAATCGGTCCGATTCAAGAGGTTTTTAGATCGATTCAGTGAATCGATGCGGTGCTTCGAATCGATCTAAAAATCGATACTTTTACTCCAAAGAATCGATTTTTCGATTAATCGATTTTAAATCGACATGCCTATTGTGTACTACAGTACAGCCCATAGATTACTGACTATATACTAGAGAGTACAGCCCAAATTCTAAACAAAACAAATTGTGGTACCCAGGTGCTTAAAAAATATGGTGCTGAAAACTGATCAGCATAAGCAAGTGTTATAGTTTTTTCCCAGAATATTTGACAGTAAAATATTTTTATTGTGGGTTTAAATTTTACAATTACAATGCTATGTAGGGAGAAAATATGAAGAAGGAACGGACAGGCGACAATTGTCGCCCGTTTAAACTATAAGTATTCATTGTATTTGGTGTATTAAATTATTTTTTACCAATAATTAATGATATTGTATTATTTTATTTTACAGCTCATCAAATATTAAGTTTGACTGGTATTAGTTTCGAAAGACGGAGTATAATTGTAAGTTAAAACATTTGATTTACAATTACTATAACAATTATTTTTAAGCGTTGTATAATAATGTTGTTATTTTAGGGTTTTGTGGAATTAACAATCGTCCCACTTAAAGATAATTTAAGATTTATTCGCTTAAATGCAAAGCAATGCCGTATTTATCGAGTTTGCTTAAATGATCAGTATGAAGCCAACTTTCAGTACTGTGATCCTTTTCTGGATATATGTCAACCAGATCCCAATACGTAAGTTTCATTTCATTTTATAACTTTGATTAGTGCTGTTTCTTCATATTACTAAAAGAATAGTTAACTTAAACCAGGATTGTTACTAAACATTTGTAAAAGATACAACATGTAAATAAAACAGAATAAATTTAAGAATTATAAACTTTAATTATTTTATAAATAACAATTACATTCTTTGGATTTGTGAGATCATACAATTATGAAAATAGTAGATATTTTTTTACTATCCACATATAGCTCTTTTACATTTCATGCTAAAGTTAGTTGTTAGTTTTCTAGCCTTAGACGGGCACAAGGCATATCGTTTTCTAGAGTTTGATTCTGGTATATAAAAGGCCAATTTAGGAATAGTTTCGATACCTTTTATGAGCTCTTTGATATCTCACTGCAATGTTGGATTAGTATGACTTTATTGTATAGATTTCCATATTGGTATATTTTACTACTTCTCCAATTATTTCATTGTTAAGATGTAAAGAGGACATTGAGGCCCCTCAACAAAACATATAATATTTCTAGAAGTAGCTCTCATTCTTAGTTATCCAGGCTTTGTGATCTATTTTGTGTTGACTACTTTGATTAGTTTCAATGTGAACAGAATTTTCAGATTGTGAGGAATCAGATTCTATATAGTGGTGTTGCTTTCGTTACTCAAAATAGGAACAGGATAATCAAAACTTTCCTCAATATGTGGCATAATTGTGTATTCTTCATTAGCACTATCGGTCAGTTGTTGTTCATACTCTTCTAAGATGTCTTCTGACTCACTCAGTATCTCTTACTGCTTTGCACTCTCATAGTCATCTTCACCATGAACAGCTCCCTCCAATAACTGTCTAATTTCGTCATCACAGGAAGAGAAACGACTTGCTAAAATAATAATTGGAACTTCACTTGAAGTATTCGCACCCAGAGAGTGTTTCTTTTCTTACGGGAGTTGTGATATTGAAGAAGGATTAAAATCAATTATGGGTCATTGTGAGGATCCTAACTGAATCCAAGAAGGTCCTTGAAATCAAAGCAAGTGGTCTATAATTTGCACTGGAGTAAGTTCACGCAACAAACAATTGCACAGATTTTCTGCACTGAGCGCATAATAGAAATTTTGCGATACTAACTCGTTTTGGATCTTGGCCACTCGATTTGCTACCAAAGTATCCCAACAATGGGGTGAAGAATGAACCCAACATAAAGCGACTGTTGAGTCGGAAAAGGCAAATATTTTATCGATATGAATTACTACATGCACTAACAACAGCTGTAATAAGCTTGGCAAGAACCAAAATTGCGCAACTTGCAACCGAATTTTCAGCATCATTCTGGACGTAAAATTATAAAATGCTCCCATAAGCTTCCTCACTTGTGTCTACAAAACCAACGACGGTGATGATGCTACGAGGGTGGATTGAAAAGTACTCGGCCTAACACAGATCCATTCACACTATTTAGTTCAGTTCAGACTAGTTCATTGTGTGAAGTTCGAAACGTGTGCGATAATTAGTTGTGATTTTATAAATTTATTAACAAAGTAATCGGACATAATTTCCGCGAATGGAGCAAATCGAGCAGCGTGCCGTCATTAAGTACCTCCATAAGAAGGGGCTATCATCAAAAGCCATCGATGATGACATGGTCAGTACATTAGGCGATTGTGCTCTGTCATATTCATCCGTCAAAAAATGGATAGCAGAATTTAAGCATGGTAGAGAGAGTGTGAAAGATGAACCCCGCTCTGGAAGGCCTTCGACGTCAACTACTGACGAAAATATTAAAAAAGTACTTGATTTAATAATGGGAGACCGCAGATTAAAAATTAGAGAGATAGCCGAGATTATAGGCATCTCTTATGAACGAACTCAAAACATCATTGTCAACGAGTTGGGTTTCCACAAGGTGTCTGCGAGGTGGGTTCCGCGACTGCTTTCAGTTAAACAAAAAAGGACGCGATTGACTATTTCACGCGACTGTTTGGAGTTATTTGAAGCCGATGCAGATGATTTTTTGAATCGTTTTGTTACTATGGACGAAACATGGGTTCATTACTGTACACCGGAAACAAAACAACAATCAAAACAGTGGAGAAGAGATGGTTCACCACCCCCTAAAAAGGCTAAGTCGATTTTGTCGGCAAATAAGGTGATGGCTTCAGTATTCTGGGACTCGAAAGGTGTGATTATGATTGATTATCTTGAAAGGGGTCAAGACTATAAACTCTGATTACTACTGCACCTTACTACGTCGTTTACGAGAGGAAATAAAAGAAAAACGTCGAGGAATGCTCAGAAGAAAAGTCCTGTTTCATCAAGATAACGCCCGTGTTCACACGTCAGTACAGTCAATGGCTGAAATTCACAACTGTGGCTTTGAACTGTTACCGCATCCGCCGTATTCACCTGATCTGGCACCATCAGACTTCTTTCTGTTCCCCAACCTAAAAAAGCACTTGGGAGGTCAAAGATTTTCGACAAACGACGAGGTCAAAGCAGCTGTAGACGCATATTTTGACTCTAAGGAAGAATCATTTTTTTTTTCAACGGTCTAAATGCTTGGAAGGGGAGCAAAAGTGTATTGAACTTGATGGTGATTATGTAGAAAAATAAAAATATAACTGATTTAGTATGTGTTTATTTTCTTGGTTAGGCCGAGTACTTTTCAATCCACCCTCGTATCCTTACTGATATTTACATGATGTGGTATTTTAATTTCCATTATGTTATGTATTGATAATGTTGAGGGTAAAATTGTAATATATGTAGAAGGTATATTCGATTAAATGAGTTTGTTTTGCAACTTGATCTGGCATGTATCTTTTAATGGCGACTGAGGAAAATAAATTAGTTTAAGTAGTAATATGGCGTGTAATTTGACGAATGTAGTGTTTCTCGAAAAATTTGATCCCAGGACTGACAATTGGAGTGAATATAAAGAACGTTTATTGTGTGCTCTGGAAGCCGTCGATGTAATTGGTGATACAAGGAAGCACAATGTGAGCAACTGGTTGTTTCTGGTCGTGGGCCTATCCTTTTAGGAAGAAACTAGTTTAAAATTTTGGGCTTAGAGATATTTTTATTTTTATTTATTCAGGATAACAACAGCTTATTAATACTTAAACAATATAACTTAAATTATTAAACGTGAAAAAGCCAATTATACTTATCCCCAAAGTAGATAACCAAACATAACAAAATAAATCTAATACAATACAAAATAAAATTGGTAAGAACTATTACTAAACAGTAACAAATTATCTTCGTGACGTATATATATACAATAGTGTATATACACAAAAGACATACATAATTACACTTACAAACACGCACATATGAATCTATAAATGCAAATATATTTTGGTGTTATTGTTATTATGGAAAATAGATAAAAAATTAAAAAGAGACACTAATATATACATACATACACACACATATATATATTATATATTATATATATACCTACATACATACACACATACATACATATACATATACATACATAATAACAGTATTAAACGAGGGCACAAATAGTAATTCGAGTACTATTTTAATTACAATTTACTGATTACCTTCAGCTGGATACAATAAAAACTTGTTAATTTTATTTTTAAATCCACTTTTAGTATTATTAAAAGGATCAATTGCGCTAAATTTTTTGTCGTAAGTTGCTACTAAACGCGTTAGAACATTGTTTTTCCCATAATTGGTCGGGTGAAAGGGGATGTAAAACAAAGAGTTTCTGGTATGTCTGGTATGTTTCAATGGGACATTAAATTTAATGAAAGCCAATAAGTCAGGGCAGTCAATTCCTCCGTGTAATATATCGAATAAAAGCCCCACATCCAGCCGAATACGTCTTTCTTCAAGCATTAACAGACCGTAAAATCTGCAATCGTCTCGATATGAAGAGCCAGAACGTCTAAATTTAAAATTTAAATGGGAAACGAACTTATTTTGAATTCTTTCGATTTTATGAACATATTTAGCATAAAATGGCGACCATATCTGAGAGGCGTACTCTAATATAGATCTTACATATGCGAAATATACTACTTTTAGGCTTTGAGAATTAGAGAAAGGAAGACAAGTTCTAGCTACAAATCCCAAATTACGAAACGCTTTACTGCAAATAGCATCAATATGCTCATTTATTGACATACGGGATCAAAATATACGCCAAGATCGCGCACCACCGTAGTCCTCTCGATTATAACACCATTGAAATTGTATGAAAAAACTATGGGATTATTTTTCCGCGTAAATGAAATACACTGACACTTACCAACATTTACCGTGATTTTATTAGCGACATAGTAATGGTATAAATATATACGTTGTAAAAGAGAGGACCAAGGTGCGAGCCTTGAGGAACACCAGAGGGAACCGTTACAAAATCTGACCTATAACCGCAACTAGCTGTGGTTCTAAGCTTGAGAGCGGTTAGTCAAATAAGATCTAATCCATCTCAGTAAGTCCCCATGAATGCAGAGGGACTGCAGCTTCTGAAGAAGTATGACGTGATCCACACGGTCGAAGACTTTTTAAAGGCGTTGTAGATCACGTCAACTTGACCTCCACCTTCCATTTCATGAAGAACGTAATTAGTGAAATTTGCAAGATTGGAAATAGTAGAACGCTTTTTCAGAAAACCATGTTGCGTACTTGGGATGTGTCTAACTATTGTAGCATAAATTTTATTAAAAATAAGTCTCTCAAATATTTTAGCAATTGTACTGAGAATAGAAATTGGACCATAATTATCAATTTTTGTTTTAGAACCTTTTTTTATGAACCGGTATTATATATGCCTTTTTCCAAAGTGTGGGAAACACACATTCTCTGAGGGAAAGCTTAAAGAGCAACGTATTTGGATAACTAAGGCTCTCGGCGCAGGCTGACAGAAAAACTGGAGGTACTCCATCGTAACCCGCTCCCTTACAGGTGTCCAAGTTTATCGGACATGTTAGTATAAAATCCTGAGAAACGTCAATTTGAGAGATATCATCA